CCCACCCCCCACACCCTCACCTCCTTTGCCCCCTCCTCTTGGCTCCTGACTCTTTCTGATACTCCTTGGCTCCTTCTTACTGCTGTCTTTCAGCCTCACCCCTGATCTCCGGGTAGGAAAGATCTACACCTAGCCTTGTCGGACAAGGGCGAACAATCTCGGAGGGCCTGTGTGCACGTTACGCCCGTTAAAGATCCCTTGGTGGTCTAAAATTGATAAGAGTAGGCTTCGGCCGCCACCCGGCAAAATGCAAAAAAGTTCCTACCACCATCATCAGCATTATCATTAATAGTAGTAATAGTAGTAGCAGTTGATCCAGCAGCAACAGCAGAAGTGACCGCGGTAATAGTGACAGTAGCAGTAGCAGCAGTGGCAGCAGTAGCATTAGCAGTAGCAGAAGCAGTAGCAGTAGCAAGGTAGAAGTAGCAGTAGCAGTAGCAGTGTAGCAGTGACAGTGTAGCAGTAGCAGTGTAGCAGTAGCAGTAGCAGTAGCAGTAGCGTTCACAGTAGCAATAGTAGTAGCAGTAGCAATTGCAGTAACAGTATCAGTGTAGCAGTAACAGTAGCAGCAGTAGCAACAGTAGCAGCAGCAGTAGCATTGGTAGTGTAGCAGTAGCAGTAGCAACAGTGGCAGCAGTAGCAATAGCAGTAGCAGTAGCAGTAGCAGTAGCAGTAGCAGTAGCAGTAGCAATAGCAGTTACTAGATAGTAGCAGTAGCAGTAGCAACAGTGGGAGCAGTAGCAGTAGCAGTTTTTATCATAACATCCTACTATGATCCCACATTCAAACAGCAAAACTTTCAAACTAGGAACCTTTTCAAGAAAAATTTTGATACCACACAAAAGTAGAATCTGTATCCTTCATTAAAGCTATCTTTGAAAAGTCCTAAACATGTCGAGTCATAATCGGAACAGGATTTTTCTGAGGAATGCGGCAGCAACATTATCAAATACCTTACCTGTAGCGTAGATGAAATCTGTAGAATTACATTTTCCGGAGGAAAAGGATATGTCTTATCGACCACGTCTCGTTTTACAATACATGTACATAGATCTAATATTGTGTTTCTTTGTAGCCATTTATAATTTTTTGTATTTTCCAGGAAGCCATGCTCAAAGTAGCAGACGAAGGCGACCAGCAATGGCATGGTTGTGAAATTCTTATGTGTTGGTGTACTATAGTGCGTTTGTGTATGTAGTAATATATGTGTGTGTGTGTGTGTGTGTGTGTGTGTGTGTGTGTGTGTGTGTGTGTACGTATGTGTGTGTGTGTGTGTTGTCTGTTTGGCTGATTGTATGTTGCATTCATGTATGTATGTTTATGTATGTTTGCCATTGGAAACCAAATTGCCCTTCAACGATCAATATTATTTTATTTTATATATTGTTTGTTTTTACCTTTTCCATGTAAGAAAAAACCTGTGTAATTAATGAAATTTGGTTAAATACTGGTGGTGGTGATGGTTGTAAGTTGTTGTTGTTGTTGTTGTTGTTGCTGCTGCTGCTG